GGGGGGCCCGGGAGGGCCGCGGGCAGAGCCCCCCGGGCCCGCGGGCCGCGGGACCCCCAGGCCTCGCCGCGTCCCGGTGCCGCGGGGGGGGCGGTGCCGCACAATGGCGGCCGGGGCGGGGCCGCGGCCTGGAGCGCGGAGCCGCCGCAGCGCCGTGAGCGGGACCGGGGCGAGGGACGGGGCGCGGTGGGGCACGGGGGACAGGGCGCTGTGGGGGTCAGCGGGGCACAGGGGACACGGGAGGGCGCGAGGAGTGTCCCCGGGACAGGGGCTGGCTCGGAGCCGGGCTCTGGAGGAGGGTGGTGGCGGTGGGGTGTGCCCGTGGGGCAGGAGGGCGGGTGCTGTGGGTGCCCCGTGCGGCAGGCGATTCCTTACCGCGGATGGGGCCGGGTGCCGTGGGGCCGAGGAGAGCGGCTGTGGGATCAGTGGGTTCCGAGGGGCAGGGGGAGGTGGGGCAGGGCAGTGCCGTGGGAAGACACAGCAGTCGTGGCTGTGGGTGTCATGGGCATGGTGGGGGCCCGTGTGTGCCCACAAGGTGTCTGTGGGGCCAGGGGCTGTGGGATGCCTTGGGGTGGGCGCTGTGGGTGCCCCGGAGTGCTGAGCCCCCATGCCACAGGGTGAGTGTCCATTATGGCCCTGTGTGGGGTGGGCAGGGGGCTGTGGGGCACTGTGGGTTGAGTGGTGGGCTGTGGGATGCCATGCAGTGCCTCCCAAGCATTTAAATTCCCCCTATTCTCAGGCTGAGGGTCTGCCACGACCCACCACAAGCCTGTGGGGCGGGTGGGAGCTGTGTGCCGTGCATTGGGGCTGGGAGCGGCCGTGGGGTGCCAGGGAGCCCCATGGGCTGTTGCAGGTGCCTGCCCCTCACTGTGGTGTGCCTCCCAGGCTGAGGAGCCACCATGGCCCGCCACGAGCCCGCCAGCCCGGTGGTGCGGCAGATTGACCAGCAGTTCCTGATCTGCAGCATCTGCCTCGACCGCTACTGCAACCCCAAGGTGCTGCCCTGCCTGCACACCTTCTGCGAGAGGTGGGACCTCCCGAACCCACCCTGAGCCCCCTGCATCCTCCCAAACCCCATCCCTGCCTGCACGCTTTCTGTGAGAGATGGGACCCCCTGAACCCCTCCTGAGCCACCCCTGCACCCCCTGAACCCAATCCCTGCCTGCATACCTTCTGTGAGAGGGACCCCTCATTACACTTCTTCCCTGCACCCCACTGCACCCCCGGTATACCCTCTGTGCCCTGGCACCCACTCTCCATCCCCACCCTATCTCTGAGCACCCCTGCATCCCTCCCATGTCCTCTGCACCCCACCAGCAGCCATCCCAGCACATCCCCACTGTGCCCTGGGCGCCCTGCACCCCCCTGAATCCTGAGTGCAGCCCTGCCACTGCAACCCTTCAAATGCACCCGCCCTGTCCTTACTGCACCCCTGCACCCCCAGCCTGCTCTGCCCCTCAGCATCCATCCCCTCTGCCCCCCAGTGCACCCAGCCCCCCTCTGCCTTGCTGCATCCCCTGTGTCCCTGAGCCTGTACCCCAGCACTACTGGCAGCACCCCCAGTGTGCCCCACTGCACCCCCAAAACCCTTAGTGTGAGCAGAGCCCCCCTCAACCCCTGCTGGTGGTGAGCCAGGCCCCCCTGCACTCCCTAACCCTCCCCAGTGAGAGATGGGCTCCAGCCTCCCTGTGCCCCCCGAGGTGGGGCTGGGACCCCCCTGCCCTCCCCACCCCACTTCTCTGTGAGGGCTGCGCAGCCCCTGAGCCCCCCAAGTGTGGATGCTGGGGGCACCCTGGCTGGGTCCCCGAGTGGGGGTGTCTTGTTGCTGATGGCCCCCTCTCTCTGTGCTCCCAGAGCCCTCTGGTCCTGCTCCATCCATCCATCCATCCATCCATCCATCCCTCCTGCTCCATCCATCCATCCATCCATCCATCCATCCATCCATCCATCCATCCATCCGTCTATCTCCCCAGGGGCACTGGCACTGCTGCCCTGTGTCCATCCTGTCCATCTGTCTGACTGCCTGTTCCCCTGCTGCTCCCCCACCTGGTGTGACACCACATAGCCCTCCTGTCAGTCTGTCCATCTGTGTCTCCCATCCTCGTGTGACACTGCACAGCCCCCCCATGTGACTGTCCGTCTGTCCTCCTCCTGCACCCCAGAGTGACACTGCAGCCCTGCCATCTTGTCCATCTGTCCCCTGGTTTGTCTGTCCCTCCAACCCTGTTCTCACACCCTGGTGTTCCACCACACAGCCCCCATGTCTGTCTGTCCGTCTCTCCCCCTGCTCTCTGCCTGCACCCCAACCCTTCGGTCTGTCTCACTGCCCCCCTCTCCCTGTGTTCCTCACTGCCCTGTCTGTCCATCCTGCTGCCCCTGTCCCACTGTCACTGTGTGCAGCCCCCCTGTCCATCCATCTGTCTCTGTGCCACTGCCTGTCCCCAGGCCTATCCGCGTGCCCTCGTGTTCATCTGTCCATCCCACTCTCTAGTTGGGTTGTTGCCCCCAACCCTAGGTGGCATGTTCCCCCTTCTGTCCCCCATCAACCTGCCTGTCTGTTCCCCTGTCTCTCTGTCCATCCATCTGTCCCTTCATCCCCCTGTTCTGCCCCCACTGCCATCCCCTATTCCCCCATCCCCAGCGAGTCCTGTCCCCCCATGCCTCCCCTCATCTGTCCCCCTGCTGTCCCTATATCTGGACCCACATGCCCCCACAGCCCCCACTCCTGTCCCTACCCCCTCCATGTCCTGGCCCAGTCTGTCCCTGTCATGCCCTGTGTGACCCCTGACCCCAGTGACCCCTGTGACCCCCATGACCCCTGTGACCCCAGGTGTCTGCAGAACTACATTCCGGCCCAGAGCCTGTCCCTGTCGTGCCCTGTGTGCCGCCAGACCTCGATCCTGCCCGAGCGGGGGGTCCCGGCGCTGCCCAACAACTTCTTCATCACCAACCTGATGGAGGTGCTGCAGCGGGACCCTGACCCCCGCGGGGCCCCCCCTGCACCCCTGCCCCCCCTGGGCGCCGCCACCGGGCAGCCGCTCTGCTGCCCGAACCACGAGGGAAAGGTGGGGGCCGAGGGGCTGGGGAGGGGCTGGGGGGGCTGCAGGGGCTCAGGGTGTTTGGGAGTGGCTGCAGGGACCTGTGGGCTGCAGGTGTCTGGGGGGCCTGGGAGGGTCCCGAGGGCTGATGTGACTAGGGGCACTGGGAACCTGCAGGAGCTGGAAAGGCTTTAGGAGGGCAGGGATCTGGGAAGGCTAAGGAGGTCTGTGAGGGTCAAGGGGGTCGGGGGAGCTACAGGCCTTGGAGAAAGGGTCCAGAGAGGGTCTGGGGAGGCTGCAGTGGTCCAGGGAGTCTGGGAGAGGCTGTGTGGGCTCAGGAGGTGATTTGGGGTGGGCTGCAGGGTCCTGTGGGCTGAGGTGTGGGGCAGCAGGTGAGCGCAGGTGTGGCAGGTGATGGAGTTCTACTGCGAGCCCTGCGAGACGGCCATGTGCCGGGAGTGCACGGAGGGGGAGCGGCGGGAGCACCGGGACCACCGCACCGTGCCGCTGCGTGACGTGCTGGAGCAGCACAAGGCAGCCCTGCAGCACCAGCTCGACGCTGTGCGTGCCAGGTACGGGGGGCAGGGGTTTCTGGGGGTCCCCATGGCCCCACTCCCACTGGTTGCAGTGCCAGCTTGATGCCACCCACACACAGGGGGAGGGGTGGCTGAGGGCGTAGTGGGTACCGTGGGGTTTGAGGGTTCAGGGAGTGCCCATGTCCTCCTTCTGCAGAATACCACAGCTGGATGAGGGTGCTGTGGGGGGCTTCAGGGTTCAGGTGGGGTTGGTGGGGGTTTGGGACTTCAGGGGGCCCCCATGTCTCCCCAGGCTCCCACAGCTGGCGGCAGCTGTGGGGCTGGTAGCTGAGATCAGCCGGCAGCTGGGGCAGCGCCGGGCTGAGGCCGAGGCAGAGATCGGGAGCAGCTTCGAGGAGCTGGAGGCAGCGCTGCGGCAGCGGCGGGAGGTGCTGCTGCGCGACCTGGAGGCCACCTGTGCTGCCAAGCAGCAGGTAACACACCTGGGGCTCTCTGCCCTTCACCAGCCCTTCCTGGGAGGGTGTGTGGGTACCCCAGCCATAGCCCAGTGCCGGTGGCCCAGCCGGTACAACAGTTGGGGTCCCAGTGCAGCACCAGCACTGGGGTTGTGGCCATGGCTGCGGTGCAGTTGGGGGTGCAGGCGGAGCGTTGGTTAGGGGTGCTGGGTGTGGGGGTCCCACACGGACAGCACAGAGACGTGCCATCCCCACAGGATGCATGCAGGTGCAGCTGGAGGTGCTGCGGCAGGGCCAGGATGTGGTTCAAGTGTGGGTGTTGGCACTGGGGTCCCACCTGGTGCCACAGGTGATGTCCTGGTCGCACAGGTGCTGGAGGCACAGCTGGAGGTGCTGCGGCAGGGCCAGGAGAGCATCCTGAGCAGCTGCGCGTTCACAGAGCAGGCGCTGCACCACGGCTCAGCCACGGAGGTGCTGCTGGTGCAGAAGCAGATGGGCGAGCGGCTGCGGGAGCTGGCAGCGCGGCCCTTCCCCGAGCACCCGCACGAGAACGCGCAGCTCGAGTTCCACGCCGAGCCCGAGGGGCTGCGCCGCTCCATCCAGAACCTGGGCGCGCTGCTGACCACCAGTGCCACGGCGCACACCACGGTGGCCACGGGCGAGGGGCTGCGCCAGGCCGTGGTGGGGCAGCCCTGCTCGCTCAGCGTCACCACCAAGGACAAGGACGGGGCGCTGGTACGCAGCGGCGGCGCCCGCCTGCGCTTCGCCGTGACGGGCCCCGACGGCGCCGCGGCCGAGGCCGAGGTGCAGGACAACCGCAACGGCACCTACGAGCTGGTGTACACGCCGCGCACCGAGGGTGACTTTGTGCTGTCCATCCTGCTGTACGGGCAGCCCGTGCGCGGCTCCCCGTTCCGCGCGCGCGCCCTGCGCCCCAGCGACGTGCCCCCGTCCCCCGAGGAGGCCAAGCGCCGCGTCAAGTCCCCGGGCGGGGGGCACGTGCGGCAGAAGGCCCTGCGCCGCCCCGCCAGCATGTACGGCAGCGCCAAGCGCAAGGAGAACCCCATCGAGGACGAGCTCATCTTTCGCGTCGGTGAGCAGGGCGCATGGGGGGTCCTGGGCAGTGGGGGTGTCTTGGGATGATGGGGGGTTCGTTAGGGCTCCTCAGGATGGTGGGGTCTCCCTGAACTCCTCACGGCTCCCTGGGGCGGTGGTGGAGGGCCCCAGGGGGTGGCAGGGATTTACCGGGGTGGTGAGTGATCTCCTGGGGCCCCATGTGCCTGCAGGCAGCCGTGGCCGGGAGAAGGGCGAGTTCACCAACCTGCAGGGGATCTCCACATCCAGCGCCGGCCGCATCGTCGTGGCTGACAGCAACAACCAGTGCGTGCAGGTATGGACCCCTGCGACCCCCACTGACCCTCCCGGTAACCCTGAATCCCCATGACCCCACTGACCCCATCAGCAGTAACCAGTGTGTGCAGCTACGGCCTCTCCCGGGATCCCCAAACTGTCCCAGGACCCCCACTGACTCCTCCTGCTCCGCCCAGCCCCCACAGTGGTTCTCCAGTGAGGGGCAGTTTTGGCTGCGTTTCAGGGTGTGGGGGTGTTCCCCCTGGTTCCCCTGACCCTGCTGCCCTCCCAGGTGTTCAGTAACGAGGGGCAGTTCCGGCTGCGTTTTGGGGTGCGGGGGCGTTCCCCAGGGCAGCTCCAGCGCCCCACAGGCGTCTCAGTGGACACCAACGGGGACATCATTGTGGCCGACTACGACAACCGCTGGGTCAGCGTGTTCTCACCTGAGGGCAAGTTCAAGGTGAGGGGAAGCAGGGCTGCAGGGGTCTGAGGGGTGGGGGGACCGTGGCACCTCCCACCCTGACTGTCTGTCACCCCCAGACAAAGCTGGGCGCGGGGCGGCTGATGGGCCCCAAGGGCGTCGCCGTGGACCGCAACGGGCACATCATCGTGGTGGACAACAAGGCTTGCTGCGTCTTCATCTTCCAGCCCAACGGGAAGCTGGTGGCCCGTTTCGGCTCCCGCGGCACCGCTGAGCGCCAGTTCGCAGGTATCCCTGGGACCCCCCAGCTGTGGGCCCTGGGCTCCCACATTGCTGGGGCAGCTGGTGGCACTGGGACCCCTGGGGCACAGGTCCAGGCTGCAGTTCCAGACTGGCTTTCTGGAACCAGTTCTGGGCTGTGGGTTCAGGTTCTGGGCTCAGGACCTGTTCTGAGCTCTGGTTTGAGTTCTGGGGCTGGACAGGGAGCCAGGATCTGGTTCTAGGCCTAGCACCATGTTCAGGTCTCTGGGCTGGTGATCCAGTTCTGGGTTCTGTCTCTGGGTTCTGGTTGGGGACTGAGATCCCAGGCTCTGAATTCAGGGTTTGGTTCTGGTTCCGAGGGTGGGATATAGTTCCAGGTTCTGGGTTTGGGTCTGGGTTCTGAGCTATGTGTCCTGGTGCACTGGGTTTGGTTCTGGATACAGATTGCGGGTCTGGGTTCAGGGTTCAGTACTGGGCTGGGTCCCTGGGCTCAGATTCTGGCAGTGGCTCCATCCTGGGGGCTCTGAGTTCTGGGCTCTGTCCATACCTCAGGGCTCTGGGTCCATCCTGGTCCTGCCATGGGGCCAGGGCTGAACCCTGCCATTCCCCTCAGGGCTGAGCCCCCCCAGTCCTGGGGATGAGCACCCCGTGCCCCTTTCGGGCTGAGCCCCCTTTGTCTCCTCAGGACCCCATTTTGTGGCTGTCAACAACAAGAATGAGATCGTGGTGACCGACTTCCACAACCACTCTGTGAAGGTGAGCGCAGCCACAGGCAGGTGCTGAGAGCCCCCTGCTGCTCTCAGGGCTGGGGGGCTGCAGTGACCCCCCCAGACTGCCACGTGTTGTCCCCTGTGCCCACCAGGTGTACAACGCTGAGGGCGAGTTCCTGTTCAAGTTTGGGTCGCACGGGGAGGGCAACGGGCAGTTCAACGCGCCCACAGGGGTGGCCGTGGACAGCAATGGCAACATCATCGTGGCTGACTGGGGCAACAGCCGCATCCAGGTACCACACCTGTGCCCCTATGGACACCTGTGCTGCACGGACACACGGACACCTGTGCCTGCACACCTGTGCCTGTGCCTGCACAGACACCTGTGCCTGTACCTGCACTGACACCTGTGCCTGCACGCCTGTGCCTGTGCCTGCACACCTGTACCTGCACAGACACCTGTGCCTGCACACCTGTGCCTGTGCCTGCACAGACACCTGTGCCTGTACCTGCACTGACACCTGTGCCTGCACGCCTGTGCCTGTGCCTGCACACCTGTACCTGCACAGACACCTGTGCCTGCACACCTGTGCCTGTGCCTGCACAGACACCTGTGCCTGTACCTGCACTGACACCTGTGCCTGCACGCCTGTGCCTGTGCCTGCACACCTGTACCTGCACAGACACCTGTGCCTGCACACCTGTGCCTGTGCCTGCACAGACACCTGTGCCTGTACCTGCACTGACACCTGTGCCTGCACGCCTGTGCCTGTGCCTGCACACCTGTACCTGCACAGACACCTGTGCCTGCACACCTGTGCCTGTGCCTGCACAGACACCTGTGCCTGTACCTGCACTGACACCTGTGCCTGCACGCCTGTGCCTGTGCCTGCACACCTGTACCTGCACAGACACCTGTGCCTGCACACCTGTGCCTGTGCCTGCACAGACACCTGTGCCTGTACCTGCACTGACACCTGTGCCTGCACGCCTGTGCCTGTGCCTGCACACCTGTACCTGCACAGACACCTGTGCCTGCACACCTGTGCCTGTGCCTGCACAGACACCTGTGCCTGCACACCTGTGCCTGTGCCTGCACAGACACCTGTGCCTGTACCTGCACTGACACCTGTGCCTGCACGCCTGTGCCTGTGCCTGCACACCTGTAAGGGAGCTGGGAAGGGGCTCAGCCTGGAGAAAAGGAGGCTCAGGGGGGACCTTCCCAGGAAACAAGAGACAGGACAAGAGGAAACGGCCGCAAGTGGTGCTTGGGGAGGTTCAGGTTGGACATCAGGAGGAATTTCTTCATGGAAAGGGCTGCCACATGCTGGAAGGGGCTGCCCAGGGAGGTCTGGAGTGCCCATCCCACGTCCAAGGAACAACGGCAGGCGGCACTCAGTGCTCTGGGCTGGGGACAATGCAGGGATCAGTCACAGGTTGGACTCAGCCTTGGCCTCATCCACGGAGCGGCTGTGATCCCGTACGGGATCGGCCTTGGCCTCATCCAGGGAGCGGCTGTGATCCCGTACGGGATCAGGCTGGTCCCCGCAGGGACCCACAGCCCGTGTCACCATCGCTGCTCCCAGCCGGGCCCGCAGTGCCGCCCCTCCGCACGAGCCGGGAGCCTCGAGACCCTCCCGGTCCAGCCGGGGGTTTGGGGGTTCCGGGGCACAGCAGCCGCAGGGAGCCCGGGTGCTGCCCCGGCCCGGTGTGGGGGCAGCGGGGCGGAAACCGGCGGTGCCGGTGCCTTGCGGGATGCTGCTAGGGGTAACGGGGGCTTCAGCCGGGCTCAACTGGTCCGTGGCACCGGAACGGCGGGGCGGGCACGGGCAGTGTCGGGGTCACCGGCCTGGGAGTGTCACCGGGGGGAAGGACCCCCGTTCCGCACAGCTGCCGCTGCCACCAGGGCCGGATCGAACTGCCCGCCGCCGGCAAGGGCCGAGGCTCCCGGAGGTACCCCGGGGGTACTCGGGGGTATCCGGTGGTGAGTGCAGGGGACGGCCCGGAGAGGTGCCGGCGGTCCCGGCGGGTGCCGGTGCGGGCCCGGAGAGGTGCCGGCGGTCCCGGCCGGTGGTGCCGGTGGTGCCGGTGCCGGAGGCGGCGCTGTCCCCCCCCCGGCCGGAAGCGGAAGTGACGCGGCCCCGAGCCCCCCACCCTCCCCCCGCGACCCCCGGCCGCGGAGCCGCCGCAGGTACCGGCAGCGGGGCAGAGGACTGGGGGGCACGGGCGGCCCCGCTGCGCTGCGGGCGGGGATGGGGCCGGGGGGCTGAGGCCTGCGCAGACCCCCGAGGGCCGGGCCGGGGGCAGCGGAGAGGGTCTGTGGGTGCGGGGTCCCGGTGGGATCCCCCTGGCGGGGCGGCGGATGCGGAGGGACCCCGGGCCCGGGCAGTGGCGGGGTGACCCCGGGGGCTGCGGTGGCGGAGGGGACGGCGGGGGGACGCGGGGCCGCGCGGCGGGGCCGTGCGGGGTGCGGAGCCGAGGGGGATGCCGGTGCTGGGGGGTCCCGCGTCCCGGGGGATGCCGTGCTGGGGAAGGCTGCCGGGGCCGGGAGGGGCTGCCAGGGGATGCCGAGTCCTTGGGAGGACCCAGGGCCGCGGAGCGTCCGTGGCCGGGGTCCCCGTGCTACCCCGCTCCCCACAGGCCCGATGGACGCGGAGGCGCCCCGGGGGCTGTAGGACGCCCCCTCCCCTCCCCAGCACCGGCAGCTGCGGCCGGGCCGGGCCGGGCTCCCGCCCTGCCGGGGGTCCCGCCGCTCCCCGCGTCCTCGCGCCATGTCGGGGGCCCTGAGCAAGCGCAGCGACCTGGCCAACGACAACCGGTGCCCGGGGCTGAGCCTGGGGCTGGCAGCGGCCCCCGACCCCCGCACCGGCCCCGGGGGCGCCCCGGCCGAGGAGCTGCCCGGCGCCGGGTGGGCGAAGGCCGGGCAGGACCAGAACCGCAACGAGCTCGAGCCGGAGCCGGGGCCGGGGCGCTCCCCCGGGGCGCACGGGGAGTCCCCCGGGGCGCTGGAGCCGGGGGTCCGGACCCGCAATGCCCGGAACGCCGCCGGGGACCCGCGGGCCCTGCTGATCGGCGCCTCGGAGGAGGAGGAGGAGGAGGAAGATGAGGAGGAGGACGAGGAGGAGGAGGACGGGGCCGGGGTGTCGCCGCCGGCCGTGGGCGCGGAGCGGGGCCTGCGGGAGCCCCCGGGGCGCAGCGCCAGCCGCCTCTTCGGGGGGCCCGGCCCCGGCAGCGACGAGGACTCCAGCTGGGCCACGCTGAGCCAGGGCAGCCCCGGCAGCTCCCCCGATGAGCCAGGTGGGCACCGGTGGAGCCCCCGTGACTTATGGCTGCCCCGTGGAGCCCCACGGTGAGCTCTCGCTGTCCCACAGCTGCCCCAGGGAGGCTTCTGACAGTCTCTGGCTGCCCCAGCCCCACAGAGCCCGATGGCTGCCCCCACCTGCTCCTTCCTGCCATGCCCCCGTGCTCCTGTCAGCTCCATGTCTCCCCTAGTCCCTGGCTGGGTGCCCGCTCCTGCACTCACAGCCCCCTGGGTGCTATTCCTGGTCCCTGGTCCCCCAGCCCCTGGGCGCTGTTCTTCATCCCAGCCCCATGGGTTCCATGCCCCCCCTTTGCCCCCTTGTCCCTGTGGAGCCCTCGTGGGGCATCCCCGTGTCCCTGGCACGGGGGCTGCGTGGGGCCGGGCTGACCCCCGTGCCCCCTGCCCTGCAGAGTCGCTGTGGCCGTGCGGCGCGGGGGCACACGGGGACCTGCCCCCCGGCTGGCTGCGGGTGCAGGACACCTCGGGCACCTACTACTGGCATGTCCCCACTGGTACCACCCAGTGGGAGCCCCCCGGCGGGCCCCACGAGACCCCTTCCGATGGCAGCACCCCCACTGAGGGGCCCACCGTGAGTCGGGACTAGGAGGGCTGGGCTTGGCCTGGGAGGTGGCTGTGCAGCCACTGTGGGGCACGGGGGTGGCTGTAGGCACGGGTGCCCGGGAGATGGTGGTGGGCTGCTCTTGGGGTTACCATGAGGCTCCCATAGTGTGCTCTGGGGTGACTGGGGGGAACCATGGGGCACTTGTGGGGTGACTGGGGGCTGCTGTGGGGCTGCCCTATGGAGCACCCTGACCCAGCCCCCTGCAGCTTTCCTGGACGAGCTTTGCCCCGGCCGAGACCTTCAATGATGGGGACTTGTGGAAGGTGAGAGGGGGTAGTGCATGGGAAAGGGTGGGGGTCAGTGCCCCCCCAACCCCACAGAGCCCCCTTGTCCCTAGGACCCCACAGCTGAGGAGGAAGAGGAGGAGGAGGAGGAAGAGGAAGATGAGGAACCAGGAGTATCAGACCTGGAGATGCTGTCACCAGGCCCAGGATCACCAGGAGAGGGGTGCGCTGGGGAGCACAGGGACTGAGGGGACACATGGGCAGGGCTGTGCCTCGGCCCTGTTGGGATGTGGGACACTGGGTGAAGGTAACAGAATGGAGAGAGGCTGTCCAGTGTGAAGTGGGAGCTGAGGGGAGCAGGGACCCAGGTGTGGGGCAGGGAAATGGGGTCTCGGGATGGGGTTGGATTGGGGGATTCCCAGGATCTCAGGGGCAGGGGTATGGGGGGGAAGGTCTGAGGTACTCAGGGTGCAATGACCCAGGTATGGGATGTGGGGGATCCCAGAGGGCTCTCAGGGGCAGCGTTTGGTGCTGTCAGGGTGCAGTCACTGACGCCTCCACCCTTCCCTTGCAGCATGGCCCTGGGAGAGGAGGATGTGCTGGACTCCAAGGTAGGGCCAGTCTCTCCTGATCCTGCCAGCCCTCAGGGCCCCTTCCCACTCCCGTGGGGTCTGGTCAGTGCTGGGGGCTGAGGCACCCAGCGCAGGGGTGCCCCAGGCTGTCACCTGCATGCGAGGGGCCTCGGCCATGCCCGCCCTGCCCCAGGGCCGGGGCTGTACAGACTGGGGCGGTGTGGGCCAGTTACTGCTGGGGAGCTGAGGCTGCCTGCACCGACCCCCTGCCCCCTTGCCCCTCACCATCTCTGCCCCACTGCCCCTGCCCCACCCCTGCCTCATGCTCCGTGCCTTTCCTGCCCCGCGTCACTCCCTTCTCCCTTCCCACCCTTTGCCCCACACGGCCAGCCCCACACATGCCCCGCTGACTCGCATTCCCCCGTTGCCCCAGGGCCTCCCGGTGCGCTCCCTGGGCTGGGTGCAGCTGCGGGAGGAGGAGCTGGGTCCCGGCCGCAGCAGCAGCGCTGTCAGCGCCTGCATCCGGCAGCTCTCGGGGTCTCGTGAGGGCCCCCCCGGCACCTGGGGGGAGGTGAGTGACCCCAGGCCCCCTGTGCCCCGCATCCATCCCACACCCTCTCTGCTGCCCCCCCGGCTCCTGGGGGAGGGGAATGCCCCCCTGAGGCTCCCGTGCCCCCAGGCCCGGGCGCTGCTGCTGCTGGAGGAGCGCACGCTGAAGCTGGTGGACCCCCAGGACCGGGCCCTGCTGCACGCGCAGCCCGTGGGCGGCATCCGCGTGTGGGGCGTGGGGCGGCACGGCAGCAGGTGGGGGCACCTGTGGGGCTGGGGATGCCCCTGTGTGTGCAGCACTGGTGGCCGGTGTGGAGGGATGGGGCTCTGGTGTCTGCAGGGGATCCTGTGTACGTGGGGCACAGGGATGGGGGGATCTGCATGTGTGGGACCCCCATGGGGTTTGGAGGTCCCACACAGTGTGGGGTGGGGGCTCTGGAATGCCGTGTATGTGGGCTGGGGATGGGGGCATCAGGGTGTGGCTGGGGTCCCCACATGGGTGAGGTGTGGGGCTGTGGGGGTCGCATGTGCACAGGGCTGGGAGGTGCCACGTGTGGATGTGGCCCCATGGGTTGGGCAGGTGGGGGCCATGGGGTCCCAACACTGGGCCCCCCCGCAGAGAAGGGTGTGTGACCGGATCAGATCTGCCCTTTGGGAGTGTGGGGTGGGTCCTGGGGCTGGGGAGGAGGGGGGCCCGTGCCCCCCCTGGCTCCCCCTAACCCTGTTCTGTGCCGCTGTGCTGCCGGGGACACAGGGAAAGGTATGGCTGCAACCTGCCCCCAGACCCCCAGTGCCTCCAGTCCCGGCTTGGGCTGGGTGGGGAGGGGACCGGGGTGGTCCTTAGCGTACCCCCCTTCCCCCCAGGGACTTTGCATACGTGGCCCGGGACCCCCTGACGCAGGTGCTGAAGTGCCACGTGTTCCGCTGCGAGGGGCCCGCCAGCGCCATCGCCGCCGGGCTGCACCGGGTCTGTGCTCAGGTGAGACCCCCAGACCTCCCCAGGACCCCTCACACCGCCCCCGTGGCCTGCACTGTGTCTGTGCCTAAGTGAGACCCCCCTAAAACTCACCCAGGACCCCCCACTCTGGCCAGCACTGGTTCTATGTCCAGGTAAACCCCCCCAACCCTCTGCTGGGCTTCCCCCCAAACTGCCACCTTGGCCTGAGCTGCGCGTCTGCCTAGATGAGACCCCCAAAAAACCCCGAGAACCCCCCACCTGGCCTGCACCAGGTCTGGGGCCAGGTGAGACACCCCCAAAACCCCCCCAGGCCCAGGTAACCCACCCCAAATTCCCCTTCCTTGGTCTGCACCACATCTGTGCCCAGGTGAGACCCCCAGAAACCCGCCAGGACTTGCCCTAGCCTGCACATCTGCACACAGGTGAGACCTCAGGCCCCTCCAGCCAGCCCCTAGGGGTGAGCCCCTGCCCACCCCAGTGTCCCCAGAGACCTGCCACAGGCCACCGGGGCCAGGGATCCCTGGGGGTGCCCAGGGTGTGACAGCCAGGAGGGCTGGGGGTGCCCTTGTGTGACATCTGGGGGACTGTGGGTCACCATGGGGGTCCCTGGAGGTCACTGGGGTGTGACATCTGTCCCCTGTCCCCCAGCTGACGGCGGAGCGGCGAAGTGCCCGGGCAGCAGGCAACAGCCTGGGGACAGACACCCCCCGGCTGGGGGAGCCTCCCCTGCAGGGTACGGGGTTAGGGGGTAACTGTGACAGAACTGGGGGGTGCATGGAGGGCACTGGGGGTAACTAGGAGGGGCTGGAGTCTGCTGGGGGAGTCTGTGAGGGGACAGGGCGTCTGCAGGGGAGGGGGCTTGTGGGCCTGGAGGTTGCATTTGTGGGGGCAGGGCAGCTGGAAGGCAGGGTGGCTTTTAGGGAGGTTTGGGGGGTGTCTGACAATGTTCTCCACCACAGTAGGGCTCCTGGCCCCCAAGAGCAAGGCAGTGCAACTGGGGGTGTTGGGAGTTCTGGGGAAGTGTTGGGGTGCTCTGGGGGGTCTTGGAGGGCTTTGGGGAGGTCTGCCATGTCCCCCCCACACTGGAGTGCTCAGCATCCAAGAGGTCTTGGGGGGTTTGGGTGCTGGGTGAGCACTGAGGACTGGGGAGGGGTTCTGGAGGGATGTTGGGGCTCTGGGGTGTTTTGGGGGGCTCTGGGGGTGTGTGACAGTGCCTCCCCCGCAGTGGAGTTCCCAGCCCCCAAGAGTGAGGTGGTTCAGCGCTTCCCCGTGTGTTACCTGGGCTGTGTCCCCGTGGCCAAGCCAGTGGGTGAGTGGGGGACTCGAGGGGCCGGGGGGAGTGTCTCGGGGGGCTCCTCTGGCCCATGTGCAGCAGCTGTGGGGCAAGGGCACCCCCAGTGTTGCCCTGAGCCTCCCTGTGCCCCCCAGGCATGGATGTGATCAACGCGGCGCTGGAGGCGGCGCTGGCCCCTGGCTCAGGGGAGCCCCCTGCGCCCACCCCCGTGGTGGTCAGCGTGGCCCCCGCCACCCTCACCATTGCTCACCGCCAGGTGTGTGCCCTCCTCGGACCTCCTGCCCTGGCACCCCCACCAAGGGCATCCATCCCCACCTCGGACCACCACCCTGGCCTAGGGGGGCTGTGGTGACCCCGTCTCACTGTGGGGAGATGTGTTGACCCCCATCCTCATTGGTGACCCCTTCCTGTTCTGGGGTCTGAGTGACCTTGTCTTGTGCCAGAGGGGCTGCAGAGACCCATCCTCGTACCAGGGAGCCACCATGGCTCCTTCCATGTGTCCCCATCCCACCACCTCCTGTGGGGCCTGTGAGCATCCCCTCCCAGCCCCCGGGTATCACAGTGACCCCCTGCCCTTCCTGGTGGGTGCCTTAGTGACACCCCATGTGCCCTGCTGACCCTGTCCCCATGCTGGGGGTGTCTCGATGGCCCCCTCCCCATCACATGGGTGCCCTGGTGACCCCTTCCCGTTGCCATGGGTGCCTCAATGCCCGCTGCTTCTCCTCCTGCGGTGCCTGAGCACCCCCTCCGTGCCGTGGGTGCCCTGGTGACCCCCGTGCCCCCAGACAGAGGCGGTGCTGTGCGAGTGCCGCGTGCGGTTCCTGTCCTTCATGGGGGTGGGACGCGACGTCCGCGCCTTCGCCTTCATCATGGCCAGCGCCCCCGGCACCTTCCGCTGCCACATGGTGTGGTGTGAGCCCAACGCCGCGGGGCTCAGCGAGGCGCTGCAGGCCGCCTGCGTGGTGAGTGGCACCCCGACCCCCCCGGGCTGCCCCCGGCCCCGCTGACCCCCCAGGGCTGACCCCCTCGCTCCCGCAGCTCCGCTACCAGAAGTGCCTGGATGCGCGGCCCCAGGCCTCCAGCTCCTGCCTGCCGGCCCCCCCGGCCGACTCGGTGGCACGGCGGGTGGGCTCCTCTGTGCGCCGGGGGGTGCAGACCCTCCTGGGGACCCTCAAACCGCGGCGGGGAGGGGCGCAGACCCCGTGAGTGGGGCGAGGGCATGGGGGGCATGTGGCTGGGTAAGGCAGCGTCAGGGGGCAGGACCACGGAGCCAACGCCCCAGGACACAGAGTTGCCCAGGGTGTCGGGTCAGGGGTCCTGCCCCCACCACTGCCCCCACGGTGGGTCACGCCCCCCCCAGGGTCCCCAATGCATGTGGCGTAACGAGGGTCTGTGTTGTACTAAATCATTAATTAATAAACCCATTCCACCAGCCTGGCTTGGCTCTGCATTTGGCCTCACACAGGCAGGAGCAGCAAGAGGAGGAGGGAGGAGGGTGTTGTGTTTGGTTTGGGTCTTCTTAGGATGTCACAGGTGAAGAGGGGCAGTGGGGTCCATCCACACCGTATTAGGGGTGTGATGTGAGTACAGGGATCACGAGCTGATCCCAACTGTGATTCCAGTGGGTGAGAATTACGACAAGGAGGCGGAGTGGTGGGGCCCCAGCATCCCTGATTTGGGTCTCCCTAAGTTGTGGCTGAGAATTGCAATGAGGAGGATGAAGGACAGTGGGGTCCATCACCCCTGTACTGAGGGGTGATGGGAGCATGAGTACTACATGCTGATCCTGACCCCAGTTCCAGTCCTGGTGGAGAGGATTAGGAGGGGTGTTGGTGTCCACTGTGCCTTTATTGTGTAACTGGTGGGACATGGGGACCACGTGCCAATCCTGACCTCACTCCCAGTGACCTTGTACCAATCCCGCTCCCAACCCCGCTCCTGCTGTGACCTGTGCTGGCTACAGTGCTGCTCCCTGTGTAACCGTGTCCCTGCCCTGCTTGCAGTGAGACCACTGCTGACCCTGCTCCCAGTGTGGCCACATCCCGGGAGCTCCCAGGATCCCCATCTCCCAGGAGCTCTCGGTGTGACCATGTCCCGGGAGCTCCCGGTGTCACCATGTCCCAGGAGCTCCCAGGGTGACCACGTCCCAGGAGCTCCTGGTGTCACCACATCCCAAAGGCTCCCGGTGTGGCCACATCCCAGGAGCTCCTGGTGTCACCACATCCCAAAGGCTCCCGGTGTGGCCACATCCCAGGAGCTCCTGGTGTCACCACATCCCAAAGGCTCCCGGTGTGGCCACATCCCGGGAGCTCCTGGTGTCACCAAGTCCCAAGGGTTCCCAGTGTCACCATGTCCCAGGAGCTCCTGGTGTGACCACGTCCCAGCCCCTGCCGCTGCCGGCCCCTGGCTCAGCAGAGCCGCCGCTGGTGCCAGAGCTCCTGGATGCGCGGGAAGGGCAGCGCGGGGCGCAGGGGCCGGCAGAGCGCGGGGTTGGCGGCGCGGCCGGAGCGCAGGGCGCAGAGCAGGGCGGCCTTGCAGGGGCCGCCGCAGGGCTCGCGGGGCGGGTGCCCCTTGTGCAGGTGGAACCAGAAGAGCTGGAAGAGCGGCTCGTCGTCCTGCATGCGCCGCACCAGCCGGTCCCAGTCAGCCGGGAAGGCCGCAGGCAGCCCGTAGGCCTCGCGTGCGCCGTAGAGCCGCCGCCAGCGCGGGGCGGTGCCCGGGGGCGCCGCGTTGGCCTCCGTCAGGTTGAGGATGAAGGTCTCGTGGTCCAGGACCGCGTGGGAGCTCCCGGGGTAGGAGCCGGCCACCTCGTAGACGCGGTACCCTGCGGCGGGAGGGACGGTCAGCACCGGGGAGCAGGGTGCTGTGGGGGGGCACACGGCGGGGCTTGGGGCGCACCGGGGTTGAGGCTGATGTAGGTGGTGACGCTCGGTGCGATGAAGGCGATGGAGACGGGACGTGACAGCGTCTCCTCGTCGTAGAACAACTCGAACTCGTCCAGGTGTGTGTGCCCAAAGAACTGCGCTGCGATGGTGCCCTCGAACCTGTGGGGTGAGCGGGGGTGGCATCCCCAGACCCCCACCCTGGAACCCCAACCCTGGCCCTCGGTCTGGCGTGTGGTGTGGGGGCCCAGGGTTCATGGGGTGGGGGTCAGGCACAGGGGGCGGGCAGTCTGGTGCATGGGATGGCACACGGAGAGAGAGCCCAGGGTGTGGGGTGAAGTCCGGTGCAGAGGTCCAGCATATGGGGCAGGGGTCTGTTGTGTAGGGCAGGGGGACCATTGTGGGATGGGAGTTCAGGGTGTGGAGCCAGGCTCTGGCTTGTGGGGCGGGGGGTCTGGTGTGGAGGTCGAGGACACATGGACAGGGGTCCAGCACATGGGGATGGAGGCCAGGGCACGGAATGGGGGTCTGGCAGGTGGGGTGGGGCACACGGTCAGGGGTCTGGCACGTGGTGCAGGGTCTGGGCAGGGCTCAGGCACTGACCTGCTGACGATGCGGTAGTAGTTCCAGCTCCAGCTGCGCAGACAGTGGGCTGGGGGGATGTGCCCGATGATGTGCACCTGTGGGCAGGGAGCCATGGTTGGAGGTTTGCCTGGGGCCCACCGGGACCCCCTGTGTCCTCCCAGAACCCCCTCACACCTTCTCCCCATCACGCTCAGCATCTGCCAGGACCCCCATGAGCCACTGGAGCTGCCCTGCCGGGTCAGTGGCATTGATGAGGAGCCAGAAGTTGGCTTGGGAGCAGAAGTTCATGTTGAGGGAGACGAGGCGCAGCCCAGGCCAGACCTGTGCCGTGTAGAACCCGCCAGCCCTGTGTGGAAAAGGGGGGTCAGTGCTGCGTCCCCTGAGCCACAGACACTGCACCCATCCCAGGGACCCCCAGCTCTGCCACCCACACTGCCCACCCACTCCAGCCCTACAGCCCCAGCCTGGAGCCCCCGTTACCCCACAGCCCTCTGTGGACCACAGCAGCCATGACCCCGCTCCTTGCACCTCTCCCCCCAAGAAGCTGAGACATCTGCATCCAGCTCCAGCTGCCCTGGTACCCCCACTGCCCCTCCAGCATGGAGACCACGCTGTGTCCTGCTACCCTGAGCCCCCAATAGCCCGGAGTGCCCCGCTCTGAGCCCCCAATCTGTGCTACTGCAGCTCCCCAAACACCGTCAGCCCAGAGCCCCCCAGTCTGGAGCCTCCAGCCCTGGGTCCCCTGATCCCGGTACCCCAAATGCCACAGACCCAGGCCCCCAGTAGCCCAGAACCCCCACACCGCACGAACTCCCCGAGCAGAGGGAGCCCCCGGGCCGGTGCCCACCGCAGGGTGCGCAGGGCGGCGGGGGGCAGCCAGTGCTGCCAGGCCTCGGCCATGGCGTCGTACAGCCAGGCGGCCGAGCGGTTGCCGCGCACGTAGGGCGGCGGGAAGGCGTTCACCGGCGTGGCCTCGTGGTTGCCCACGGCGGGGAAGACGCGCAGCCCCCCGAGGCGGGCGCGCAGCAGGGCCGTCACCGTGCGCAGGGCGCGCAGCTGGTCCCCGCGGCTCTGCTGCCACACGTCGTGCGCGGGGATGTCCCCGGTCCAGTACGCTGCCGCGAAGCCGCCGGTGCCGTTGCCGGTGCCGTTGGGCAGCTGGGCCAGCAGCGCGTCGATGGTGTGCAGGGGAAGGTCGCACTTGCTGTAGCTGCCCCAGAAGCCCGCCGCCCCCGGCCCCTCGCCGGGCGCCCCGCGGCAGCACAGCGGGTCGGGGCAGGCGGCGGCGCTGCCCGGCGCGTACTGCCGGTCCCAGTGCAGGTCCGTGAGGAAGAGGATGCGGGCGGTGGGCGCTCCGGGCGGCGGCGGCGCGGGGGGCCGCACCGGCGGCTTGGGGGCGGCGGGCAGGGACAGGTTCCAGGCGCCCAGGATGTCCCAGTGGCCGCAGCGGGGACCCAGCAGGAGCCCGCAGGCCTCGGGCGGGCGCAGCACGGAGCGAGCCCAGGCGGCCACCACGTCGCCCTGGAAGAGCTGCACGGCCTGGCGGCACACGGGCGGCCGCGCCAGCCGCAGCTCCTGGCACAGCCGCGACGCCACGCGCCCCACGCGTGCCACGTTCGGCTCCAGCTGCAGGGGATGGACACTGGGGATCGGCCCGGCACCCCAACCTCCGGACAGCCCCGCTGGCCTCCCCCTCTGCTGCCCAGGACAGACCCTGCACACCGAACCCAGCTGCTGTCACTGGCCTGTGCCCGTCAGCATCCCCGGGATGGGCACGGTACCCCCGGGATGGGTACAGCATCCCCGGGATGGGAACAGCACCCCCGGGATGGGCACGGCACCCCCGGGATGGGCACGGTACCCCCGGGAGGGGCAGGGGACCCCCGGGATGGGCATGGCACCCCGGCTGCCATCTCTGTACCCCCAGCTCTGTCAGTGTCCCACACCCGCCAGCCACCCCGGCCCATTCAGCTGGACATCCCGATGCCAGAAGGGATCCACACGGTCCCCCAGCCCCTCTGGTCCCCAGCCCGGTCCCCTCCTCCCTCCCCTCCCGTCCCCGCCCCAGCCCGTCCCTAGCCCGGTTCCTGTTCCCGTCCCAGCCGGTCCCCGGCCCGGTTCCTGTTCCCGTCCCAGCCGGTCCCCGTTGCCCCGAGCGGAGCCGCTGGCGTGGCCCCGCCCGTCCCCGCTGCTCTTTAGCCGTCCCAGCCTGTCACTCCCCGTCCCCGCCCGTCCCTGTCCCCATTCCCGATCCGGTCTCGTGTCTGTCACAAGCCCCGACCTGTCCTGGCCTATCCCTGCCCCGGCCCGTCACGAGGGACTGGCCCGGCCTGTCCCGTCCCTGTCCCGTTCCTGTCCCGTTCCTGTCCCTGTCCCGTCCCTGTCCCGTCCCCTCTGTCCCCGCTCCTGTCCCCGCTCCTGTCCCCGCTCCTCCCGTCCCGGTGTCCCGGTGTCCCGATGTCCTCCCATGCCGTGCGTGGCCCGGTGTCCCGGTGCCCCGTGCCCACCTGCAGCGCCAGGTCCAGCGCCCCGAAGAGCACCCGGCAGGCCGGGCACGACACGTTCCGCCAGCCCCAGCGCGGCGCCGCCGCCGCCAGCTGCTGCTCGGGGCCGGGCGGCGACCCCGCCGACACCGGCAGCGCCAGCAGCGCCAGCGCGGCCAGGGCCAGCGGCAGCGGCAAGGACAGCAGGGCTGGCAGCGGTGGGCGCGGTGACAGGGCTGGCAGCGGTGGGCGCGGTGACAGGGCTGGCAGCGGTGGCAGCGGTGGCAGCGGCAGCGGGGCCCGAGCCCCGGCCGCCATGGCCGAGAGGGGCGGGGCCGGCTCGGGGGCGGGGCCGGGCGCCGCCATTTATGGGCGAGGGGGCGGAGCAAGGCCGCAAAGGGGGAGGGCAAGGTCGGGGACAGTGCCCGCCCCCGGCGCCATGGCCGAGAGGGGCGGGGGCGTGGCCGCCTAAGGGGCGTGGCCAATGTCACAGGGGCTGAGGCGTGGCCACCCGGGGCGGGGAGCCGTATGCAAATGAAGGCGCCGGGCCTATGTAAGGCCGCGGTGCACGCTGGGAGATGGAGTCTTGGGGCTGGCGGCGTTCCCGGGGTCCCCTCCCCTGCGTGCGGTCACCCCCCCTGTACGGTCAGTCCTGTACGGTCACCCCCCCGGGGCGGCATTGGGTGCACCGGACAGGGGGTTCCTTCCCCCCAGCTGCCGCCGCCGCCCGGCTCAGCAGCTCCCACCGCGGAGCCTCCCAGCCCGCAGCCCCCGAGCCTCGCGCGGTGCTGACCCCTCGTCCCGCCCGGTTCTGCCCCGCGGAGCCTCCGTGCCGGCGGGCAGGAGCGCTGGGAGCAGCGGCGCAGCTGGGCACGGGGTCAGTTTATTGTGACCGTAGCCGGGGGGCAGCGCGGGGAGACCCCGGGCTGGGCTGAGCTGGGCTGGCCCGACCTCCCTCAGCCTCCCACCTGCCCGGCCCAGGGCTCCTCCCGCCCGCTCCTCGCCGCCACCCAGCCGGGGCTCGGGATGGAGCGGGGGTGCTGGGCCAGGGTGTCCCGGGAGGGCGGGCGGCTGGGGGTACACCGGGGCGGGGCACGGGGGTGCTGGCAGGGCAGGGGTTCATGCTCGGGGGGTCCTGCTGGGGGTGTGCAGCTCGGGGGGGCCGGGCGCTGGTGTTGGGGGGCCCAAGGGGGGCTAGCTCAGGGGTCCCAGGCTGCTGAGGAAGGTGTAGCTGAGCTCGGAGAGAAAGGTGCTGGCCACGGGGGCTCGGGGGGTCCCGCTCGGGGGGCCGGCTCAGGGGGGCCCCAGGCTGCTGACGGTGGTGTAGCTGAACTTGGAGAGCGAGGCGCTGGCCATGGGGGGCTCGTCCTCGGGCGGGCGGCGGGGGCAGGCGCGGCGGCAGCCCCAGCCCGCGCAGGTGGCCCCGAAGGCCTTTCGGAAGCGGCGGTTCATGAAGCAGTAGATGAGGGGGTTGGCGCAGGCCGACGTGTAGGACAGCAGGTGGATGAAGGCGATGGGGGTGCCCGAGAGCGCCCGCTGGGCTGCCCGCGGGGCGAAGGCACGCCAGGTGTTGGCGGCGAAGATGGGCAGCCAGCAGAGGAAGAACATGGCCACGATGACCACCAGCATGCGGATCACGCGCCGCTTGGCCGCCAGCTGCGCCCCCGAGCTGTTGATGCGAGCCCGGTCCTGCTGCGCGGCCGCCCCCAGCGCCCGCAGCTCCAGAGCCGCGCCCGGACGCGACAGCTGCAGGTAGCACCCGTCACCCTCGTCGCAGGCGGGGGCTCGGTCCCCCCCAGTGCCACGCGGGGCTGCGGAGTGAGGAGGCATGGTCACGGGCACGGCACCCCAGCACCGCGGGAGCACCCTCCAGGAGGAGGGGAGGGGGTGCGGGGGACGTGGAAATGGCACCGTGGGGACATGCTGCACCCCGAGGCTACAAGGAGGTCCCCGGGAAAGGGGGGTGTCCCCGAGGAGCACACCACTGTGGGGAGCAGGGATGAAGGCTCGGCCCTGCCCCTCCTGCTGGGGTGGGCGCTCTGCCCACACAGGAGTCAAGCCAGGCGTCACCCCCGGTGTCACCCCTGCCCCATCCCCTCACCTGCCACCTCCCCCTTGACGTCCAGCTCGAAGCGGATGCCCCGGTAGAGCTCGCGGGAGATGAGCCCGTACGCCACCGTCATCACCACGCCCGGGATGAAGAACAGCACGAGGAGCAGCAGCACGTACCTGGGACAGGTGGCCCCCGTCACCCGGCGTCCCCTCAGGGCCGCGTTCCCCCTCCCTGCCGGCACTCACCAGACCTGCCGGACGCGCTCGCTGGGCCAGTGGTGGGTGCACTGTGCGGGGGGCGGGCGGGGGGCGGCGGGCCGCGTGGTGCTGTACACGGCGTAGGGCAGCATCAGCAGCGCCGCCAGCGCCCAGGTGCCCGCGATGACGCGGCACGCGTGGGACCGCGTCTGCCAGGCGCGCGACTGCAGCGGGTTGCAGATGGCACTGTAGCGCTCGATGGCGATGGCCACCAGGCTGAAGGTGGACACGGCCACCGAGACCCCTGTGGGCAGCGGGGGGTGTCGGTGGGCACGGCGTGACCTCCTCCTGGAGCCCCCCGCTGTACTCCGTGCACCCACGAGGTAGGGATAACCCCCCGCGTGTCCACGGGGCAGGGACGAGCCCCCTCCCTGTGCCCCCAGGTACCCACAAGGAAGGGATGGGGCCCCACCGTGCCTCACCCCAGCCATGAGAGGGGACAAGCCCCCGTGTGCCCCACCCTACCCATGAGGTAGGCCACGAGCTTGCAGACGACGTCGCCGAAGATGAAGGCGCCCATGAGGCCGGGCAGCAGGGTGAAGGGCATGCAGCACAGCGCCAGGAGCAGGTCACTCAGGGCCAGCGACAGCAGGAAGCAGTTGGTGACGGTGCGCAGCCGCCGGTTCAGCGCCAGCACGGCCACCACCAGCGCGTTGCCCCCGACGCTCAGCACGAAGATCAGCACGTAGAGCACCACCCGCACCGCCACGTCCAGCTCTGCGGGCAGCGGGGCACCGCGCTGCACTGGCACCCCGGGGCACCCCGGAGGCACCCAGGTGGCACCCTAGAGGCACTCTGGAAGCACTCCCGAGGCCGCCACAGAGACATTTCCATGGCACCCCGAGGGTAGCCCGGTGGTCCCCCAGACAGGCTCTGAAGGCACCCAAAGGCGCCCCAGCACAGGCCCAGGCTCTGGGACACCGGGGCTCCGACGTGAACGGCGCGGGCTCGGTGGGACCCATCAGATGAGTGCATCGTTTCCCCCCCGTGTGGCAGCCGCGGGGGTTCGGGGTGAGCTCCACGCCCCTCGGCTCAATTCCGTGAGGCTGAGGGACCCTCATCCAGCTGGGTGCCCCCATCCCGCCCACCCTCCGCCTCGGTGCTGAGCCTCGGCTCCCCCGGCGGCGCGGGGACCGGGGACGTCCTGCCCGGAGAGCGGAGTGACGAGCCGGAGCAGGGGCCCCAGCCGGGGGGTGGGATGGGGTGGTCCCAGTCGAGGGTCCAGCGGGAGGTCCCGGCCCCGGCAGTGGAGCAGGGGTACGGGGCGGGCGCTGTCTGTGTCCGCGGCGTCCCTGTCGGAGTCCCCTCCGCCCTCCTGCTGCCACCGGCACAGCCCGGCGTGCTCCCCCCGGCAGCGCCAGATCCGCACCGGAACCCCCGGGCAGCGCCGGGGCCACCGAGCCCGCGGCCGGGGCGCGGGGATCGGGGATGGTGGGTGCCTGCTGCTGAGGGGCACGGCGGGGACGGGGCGGCACCGGTCGGGGAGCGGGAGAACCGGAGCGCAGGGCGGCGGGCACCGGGGCGGCACGGCGGGACGGAGCGCGGGGAGCGCAGGGCCGGGCACGGAGGGGGGGTCCCCTCCCGGGTCCATCCCGCTCCTTCCCCCCGCCCCCGCTCTCACCTCTGGGCGCCGGGGGCCCGCGGAGGCCCCTGCGGAGGAGGTCGCAGAGCGTCCTGTTGGTCCCGTTGCCGGTGCCGGTGCCGGGTCCGTTCCCGGTGCCGTTCCCGGAGCGGCAGAGCATCTCCTGCAGGGACTCGTTGAGGGGCCGGGGGTCCATGGCGGGGACCCCCCCGCCTCCCCCCGCCCTTCCTCCGGCAGGAGGCACCGGGAAGGATCAGGCACCGGGAGGCTCCGGCAGGGACGAGGCTCCGATCCGCTCGGAGCCGCCGGTGGATAGGCGGGGGCGGCGCCCGGCGCGGGGCGGGCCGGGGGCGGGGGGCGGTGGCGGCGGCGGGGGGAGCCCGGGGCGGTGGGGGCCGGGCGGGGCCACGGAGAGTACCGGGAGCGGGGCTCGGGGAGTACCGGGGCGTGCGGTTCCCCCCGAATCCCGGGCGGGTCGGGCAGCTTGGGGGGGCTCGCTGGGAACGCTCTTGAGGCACCGGGCGACGGCCACCATCGCGGTGTCTGTCACCGCGTCCCTGCGGCTGGGGGACGGCCCGGCGGGGCTGGGGGTCCCGAGCTGCGAAACTCCGTGACCCTGACCCGGCCCCATCCCGGCTCCTTCCTCTCCCGGTCCCGTTCCCGCAACAGCAACTGTTGGTGTCACCCGACAACAGTGGTGGCTGCTGTGTCCCCCTCCAGGTCACCCCTCAGCACCGCGGCGCTAGTCCCGCGGCACCCCCACCCCTCGTGGGACCCCAACCCCCTGAGCCCCGGGGACATCATGCGCCCCTCTGGACCTCTGTGACCAAGAGGGACCCCGTGCCCCGGGGAGAGCCTGTGCCCTGCTAGGACCATGCATGCCACTGGGACCTCGTGTCCCAGTCTGCCTCCGTGCCCTGGGCAGCTCCTGTGCCCTGAGGGGACCCTCTACCATGGGGGTACCATGTGCCTTGAGCAGAGCCGGTGCCCTCCTGAGACCATACACGCCACGAGGACCCCGTGCCCTGAGGGGCCCCTGCACCATGGGGCTATCCTGTGCTTTGGGAGCACCTTGCATGTCGCTGGGACCCTGTGCTCTGTGGGGACCCTGTGCCTTGGAGGGGCCCTGCACCCCAGTGGGACCCTGTCCTCCTGCAGAACCTGGCTCGCGGGCAGGACCCTGTGCCCTGGGGGCACCCTGCCCCTCGGAGGGACCCTGTTCCCGGGGAGGACCGTGTGCCCTGAGGACAGCCTGAGCCTTGGAACCCTGCACTCTGGGGGGGCCCTGTCCCCACGTAGGACCCTGTGGGCCGGCAGGCTGCTGCGGTGAGGCCGCTCCTGCTGCCCCATCTGCCCGCACCGCCCTGTCCCGCACTGCCCTGTCCTGCACTGCCCGGTCCCGCACCGCTCTGTCCCGCACTGCCCTGTCCCGCAGCTGCAGCCGTCCCTCGAGGCGCCGGACGCGCAGGGCCATGCGCAGGGCACTGGCCTCCAGCTGTGCCAGCAGCCGGGCTGCCCGTGTCTGGAGCCCCTCCAGGGCCACCTCCAGCCCCTGCAGCCGCCGCTCCGCCTCGGCCCCAGCCGCCAGTGCCGCCGCCTCAGCTGCGGTGTCGAGCTGGCCCATGCGCAGCAGCAGCTCCCGGCCCTTGGCCTCCATGGCAGCGCGGGCACGGGGGAACTCGGCCAGCACCTCCGCCAGGTCCTCCTTGCCCAGGCAGAACAGGTCTGAGTAGCCGATGCTCAGGATGTTGGCCGTGCGCCGGTTCCCTGCCATGTTGCCTGTGGGGCAGGGGCCGTGAGCCCGAGGGGACCACGGGGCAGCGCCGGGGCGCAGCGTGGAGCTCACCCTTGATGTTGATGAGGCTGATCTCCCCGAAGTAGAGCCCCTCGCCCAGCACGGCCAGCTGCGTGACGCCGTCCTCGGCCACCACGGCCAGGCGGCCCTCGCGGATGAAGTACATCTCGCGGCCCACGTCCCCGCGCCGGCACACGAACTCGCCGGGGCCGAAGACCTGCGGCCGCAGGCGCAGCACCAGCTGCCGCAGCACGCCGTGCTCCCACCCGCGGAACAGCCCCACGCGCCGCAGGGCCGCCAGGTGCACGCCGGCCGCCACCTCGGCCCGCAGCCCCCGCGGCAGGTGCTGCAGCGCGTCCCACTCGGCCGGCAGCTTGCGCTGCGCCCGCAGGTGCTGGTGCCAGCGCACCACGCGCCCCGCCAGCCGCCCGTCCACGCCCCGCGCCCGCAGGTACCGCCGCACCGGCCCCGCGTCGGGGTAGAAGGCGGTGGCGGACGAGCTGAGGTTCACGATGACGGTGCTGATGCTGCCGGTGATGGTGGCGAAGCCCAGCACGGCCAGGAGGAAGCCGGCGGTGAGGAAGAGGAGCTCCTCCTCGCGCTGCGGCTCCGGCGTGTCGCCCACCATGGCCAGGACCAGCGTGGAGAAGTAGAAGCTGTGCAGGTAGCGGCGCAGCAGTCGCGTGAAGCTGGGGCAGACCCAGGGGTCAGCGCCCAGCCCCAGGCGTGCCGACAGCGCCAAGTAGAGGCAGCCGTGCCAGTGGATGCCCAGCAGCAGGTACAGCATCAGCTTGGCCATGCGGAACACGTTGGGCCAGGCCGTGCGCGTCTCACACCGGTCGAAGGCCTCGAAGAGCCGCGGCACCCGCAGGCAGCGGTTGGCACGTGCTGCTGGCACCCCAGGGACCCTCGGGACCCCTGGGAGCAGACAGAGCAGCTCGGTGGGCAGCACGGCCATCACATCCCAGGGGAAGGTCCAGGAGGCCAGATAGCGCCGCCGCGTCCGGCTGACGTCCTGCACCAGGATCCCGTCCTCCAGGAAACCTGGGAGGGCAGCCGGGGCAGCCACGGCACTCCAGGGGATTTGTCCTGGAGGGCAGGGGCTGCTCGGGACCTGCCTGGGATGGGAGAGGGCTCGCAGAGGGGCCCACGCAGGTGCCCAGCCTGGGGCACAGGGAGGCACAGGAACCCTGGGTGGGCACCCTGGGGGATGCCACTGGTGGCTCCCTGGGCTGCCATGGGGCTGAGTGGTGGGTGCCGAGACTCAAGACCACCCACCCACCCAGACATCCTCTGTGTGGGGCTGGGGGTGGCTGTACAGGGTGGGAGTGCACCTGTGTGTACGTTCATGTACACACCTGCACATTGTGTGTGTGTGTGTATGTACATGTACACACCTGCACACGTGTGTGTTTGTGTGTGTGTACAGGTACACACCTGCACAATGTGTGTGTATATACATGTACACACCTGCACATTGTGTGTGTGTGTGTATGTACATGTACACACCTGCACACGTGTGTGTTTGTGTGTGTGTACAGGTACACACCTGCATGTCTCTGTGTGTGCGTGTGTGTACACATCTGCACACATGTGTGTATGTACAGCTACACACCTGTGCGTTTATGTGTGTACGTACCTGTGTATGTCTGTGTACACACCTGTGTGTCTGTGCACCTGTGTGTCCGTGTGTGTGTCCGTGTGTGTGTACACACCTGTGTGTCCGTGTGTATCTGTATGTGTGTGTCTGTGTGTCTGTGTACCCGTCTGTGTTTCTGTGTGTCTGTGTGCGTGTGTGTGTACACACCTGTGTGACGGTGTACCTGTGTGTCCGTGTGTCCGTGTGTCCGTACCTGTGTGGAGGTGCACGGCGATGTCCAGCAGGTACAGCGCGTCGCTGAGCCCGTCCAGGGCCTGCCACAGCCCCGCGTGTGCCTCCTGCACCTCGGGGAAGCAGCACCTGGGGTACGAGGGGCATCGCTGGGACGGGGCCAGGACACCCCCACCCGCACCCCAACCCCCCCGCCTGGCACCTGAGGATGAGGACGACCCAGTTGTAAAGGATGGGCAGCACCATGAGGCTGATCCACCTGTAGTGCCAGTCCCCGGCGGGGTCCAGGCTCCAGCTCCGGGGGGTGGCAGCGCGGCTGGGGGCACAGAGGGGCCGGGGGTCGCTCTGTCCCCGTGTGGGGCCCCTCTGCCCGCACCCAGCCCCGGGTGCCGGTGGCTCTGTGGCTCAGCCAGGCCCCAGCACCTGTGGGACTGAGGGGGTCCCGTACCCCAGCCCCCAGGAGCAGCCGTGCCCCGCTCACGCCGTGCCCCGCTCACCCCGTGCCGTGACCGGTGCCGGTGCCAGCCCCGGCTGTGGCCATGGCTCCAGAGCCCGGCCCAGCGGCAGGACAGGAGGGAGCCGAGGGTCCCGGCAGGATCCTTCTCGGCGGGAATCCTGTGCGTCCCGGTTTGCGCGGTCCTGCACCTGAGCACCGCCGGGTGCTGCCGCCTGCCCCGGTACCGGGCGTGGCTCCTCGAGGGACGCAGCCACGCGGCTCCTGCGGCACCGGGCGTGTCCCAGCAACGAGGGGTCCCCAGGTACCCGCCGGCCCCTGGGACACCTGTGCCAGGCAGCCCCGTGCCAGGGCCACCGGGCACGCCGGGGCACGGAGCCGCGGCCAGGTGTGCGGGGCCCAGGTTAGCCTCCAGGAACAACAGCCGGTGCCTGGCAGCGCCCGGTGCAGAGCCGGCGGCGGGTCCCAGCACCTGGCACGGGGCTGCCTGGCACAGGGGTGCCCGGTACAAGGTTATCTGCCACAAGGATGTCCAGGCCAGGGAGGGCCCGTTTCTGGGTGCCCGGGAGAGGGGTTCTGGGGTCCCGGCACCGGAGTGCCGGATTCCGAGGTGCTCAGTTCCGAGAAGTGCAGTGTGCAGGGGTTATCCGGTGCAGGGTTACCCGGTACTGGGGTGCGCAGTTACGGGGGGTCCCCGTACAGGGGTGGCTGGGCCGGCGGGGTGCCCGGTTCCGAGCGGTGCCCGTACTGGGGCTCTCGGTGGCGGGAGCCCCAGCACCTGAGTGCCCGGTTACCGCTGCCCGGCGCAGAGGGGCTCCCGGTTTCTGAGGATGCCCCCTCCGGGGGTGCTCGTACAGGGTACCCGGTACCGTCTGTCCCGGTACCGCCTGTCCCGGTACCCGGTTCCCACGCGCCCCGGCCCCGCCCCACTCACGGCCTAGCCAATGAGCGCTCGGACTTTGCCGGAGAGGCCACGCCCACCGAGGCGTGTGGGCGTATTCCCGTGCCGCGGTGGGCGTGTCCCCGTGCCGCGGTGGGCGTGCCCGGCCGCGGTGGGCGTGGCCAGCGCGCGCGGTGCGTCGGGCGCGGCGGGAAGATGGCGTCGGGAGCGCGGGGCCCGCCTCGGGGCAGGTCCAGCCGCCCTTCTGCCGCGGTGCCGGGCTGCCCGGGCCGCCGCCCGCCCTTGGCCGCGCGGGGCCGGAGGGACCGGCCCGGCCCGGGCGCTGTCGGGGTGAGGGGCCGCGGCGGGGACGGGTCCGGGCGGGCCGCAGTGCCGAGGGCGAGGGGCCCAGTCCCTCCCGGGGGTCCCGACCCCGCGCCCGACGCCTCCTCTGCCCTCCGCAGGTGCGGCGCTGACGGGACGGGACCGCCGCGACCTTGACCCAGGTAGGCGGCCCGGCCCCGCGGCATCCAGGGCTCCCGGTTGCGCGTGACCCCGGAGCCTCAGGCGTCCCGGTGCCGGTGTCTCCGTGGCGCCGGGACTGAGGATGCCCAAGTGAGCAGCACCTCCCGCGGGCTGGGGACCGCGGCCCCGGCGCGGCGGGCAGCCCCGGGCTGGGACAGCCCCCCGCCTCACCCGGACCACCGGCCCGACCGGCGACCGCCCTGGCGACCCCTCGGTGACCCCCGCACGGTGCTTCGGTTCCCGGGTGCATCGGGGGGCCGGTGCTCATCACCCACAACCTCCTGGCACCGGGTGCCATCCTCTGCCCATGGTGGCCGTGCCCCAGTATCCCTGTCCCTGCCCTGGTGGCACCTGATGTCCCTGTGCCCTCGGTGTCCCTGCCTGCAGTGTCCCTTTCCCTGGTCTGGTGGCACCTGGTCACCCCCCTGTCTCTGGCTAATTGCTGCCCCGGTGGAGGGTGCTGCCCCACCACAGCCCATCCAGGTGACACTGGGGTGGTGCCACAGCCCCTGCTGTGCCCCAGTGGCTGGGTGCTTTGGTATGTGACAGGCACAGTCAGGCTGGGGTGAGGGGGCACTGGTATCAGGAGAGAAGTGGTGACAGCTGGTGTCCCTGTCCTGCCAGCATGGCTCTGGCCGTATGTCACACGGGTCCCTGCACAGGGACCCCCCAGTGTGCCACAGTGAGGCCTTTGGCTCCGTGTTCCTGCTGGGGCCGTCGTGCTGGGTGGCAGGGCTGGCACTGCCCTGGCATTCAGTGGCTCTAACTTTAGCAGCCACACGAGCGCTGGCTGTGGGTGGGACAGGCTGAGCTGGGTATAAATAGACAGGCCCGTGCTGTGTCCCACTGCCCCAGCTTCAGCCACTTTCCCTTCCTGCCCCTGTGGTTTGGCGTGTCTTTAATGGCACTTTCACTTCCCCAAGCGCCATGCAAGGGCTGTGGCACTGGCTCTCAAAGGCACTGCCCTCCCCATGTGCTGGTGGGGGACTGGGGAGCCCCTGCGGCGTGTCTCTGCCCCAGGCACGCCGGGGCTGCCGGCTCTGGGGCCTCAGTGCTCAGTCCCGTGCTGGTGCCTGCGGTGGCACTGGTGGTGCTGGGGCACGGGGCACTATAAATATCCTGGCAGCGCTGTCGTGCTGCGCCGGCCGTGGGTGCTGCTGAGCATGGGGGTGGGCAGCTGTCCCAGCTGTCCTGGTGTTCCTGTGGCTGCTGGGTACTCCCCACACCCATGCTGGGCCAGTTCCCGGTTTAAAGTCCAGTACTGGGTGTGAGCAGGACCGGGATCCAGAGTCCTCCAGCCACCACTGCCCCAGCACTCTTGCCCAGCCCAGTTCCCACTGCTGTCTCTCCTGCCTGCCTTTCCTCTTGATTGCCTTCCTTTCCTCCTGACTTTCTTCCTTCCTGGCTTCCCTCCTCCTTCCCCTTCTGTCTCCCTCCCTGCTGCTGGCCGTGAGGTGGGGCTGGGCTCTCTGACGGCCCCTCTCCCTGCAGCCCGCTGGCAGCAGCATGGAGAGAGGACCCTGGCACCCTGCCCGCTCCGCTGTGCCCCCACGGTGGTGCCAGGCCGTGTCCAGCCTGGCTGGGGTGCCCCGGAGCTGTGTGTGACCCCGTGCCGATGGAGAGGATGAGCTGGCTGAGCAAGCTGACCCCTCGGGCGGGCGGGCAGCGAGCCCCCCGCAGCGCCAGCCTGCAGCCCCCCGTCACCGCTGACCCCGAGACCTGCCTCATGGTCTTCAAGAACCACTGGGCACAGGTGAGCAGGGCTGGGGGCAGTGAGGATCCCCCGACCCTGCAGCCCCCAGCCCTCACTGCCAGGCCCCCTCCCACAGGTGCTGCGGATCCTGGAGCGGCGCGGGAGCAAACCGGCCCCCGATGACCTCAGTGCCGTCCGCAACAACACCTACCAGATGCTGAATCTGCTGGCTGAGGACCGGCCCTGGGGGGACGGGGACAAGGACAGGTCACAGGGGGACGGGGACATGGCCTGCGGGCCCATCCTGGAGTTTGTGGCTGCTGAGAACCTGCTGGAGCGGCTCCTGTGCTGGCATCTGCAGGGCGACTTCACCGAGGAGAGGAAGGTCTGAGTGAGGGGAGCACAGGGGTCTGCGCTGCTGGGGGGTTTGTGGGGAGGTTGGGACAGGCTGGATCTGAAGGGTGAAGGTGCTGGGTTGAGGGTCAGCCTGGCCAAGGGCAGGGCACTGTCCCGTGGCAAGTTCAGGTTGGATTGGGGTTGAACTACCCGAGCTGTCCTGAAAACTCTGTCACAGATGGCCCAGGGCAGTGCTGGAATCCCCAGCCCTGGGGGGATTTCACAGCCATGTGGATGTGGCACCTGGGGACATAGCTGAGTGGGCTGGGTTGTGCTGGAGGAACAGCAGGACCGGGTGATCTCTGTACCTTTCCCTCCGTGTCCTCGTGTGCAGGTGGAGCAGCTGAAGCTGTACGAGATGCTGATCAGCCAGGCCCGGCAGCCCCTGCTGCGGCACAAGCCGGTGCTGACGCCGCTGCTGCGCCTGCTGAGCGTGTGCGCCGAGCCCGCCTCGGCCCCGCTGGAGAACAGCCTGGTGCTGCTGCTCAACCAGCTCTGCGTCTCCGTGGCGCGCGAGCCGGCCATCCTGGAGCTCTTCTTCCACAGCCACACGGACCAGGGCCCCGCCAACCTCATCATCTTCTCGCTCCTCATCCCCTTCATCCACCACGAGGGCACACGGGGCCAGCAGGCACGGGACGCGCTGCTGCTCATCATGGCCATGTCTGCCAGCAACCGCGCCGTGGCCCAGTCCATCACCGACAACTCCTACTTCTGCCCGGTACGCGTCCCCGCGGGCCGTCCCCTCCTGGGGCAGCGCTCCCCTCCCCAGGGTGATGTCCCCTCCCTGGGATGCTGCTGGGACCCTGCACTGCTGGCAGAGCTGGGCCAGCTCGGGCAAGAGCCATGGACAGGCCCAGAGGGAGAAGTCCTGCCCTGGCTTGGGGTTGGTGGGGGACAGGGCTGGGGATTATGGGGGCTTGGGAATGATGGAAGCTGGGCGATGGAGAGCTTGCAAATGATGGAGAGCTTTGGGATAGAGGGCTTGGAGATGATGGGGGATCTGGGGGTGTTGGAAGGTCCGCAAGTGATGGGGGGCTTGGGGGTGACAAGTAGCCTCCAAGTAGCCTGGAGATGATGGAGAGCTTGGGGATGAGGGGCCTGGGAACAGGGTGCTTGGAGATGATAGGGGGACTTGGTGGTGATGGGAGGCTTGGAGATGATGGAGGGCCCAGTGCTGGGCTGGGGATGAGGGGACCACTCCCTGGGCTCAGTGGTGGGCAGGGACCAGCCCAGCTGCCCTGCCTGGAGCGCTGGAGTGGGGCAGGTTTGTGAGGGGCAGGTTGCTGGGGTTTGGAGAAGGCTGGTTGGGTGCAGCAGCCGGAGGTGCGAGGGGCTGCGGGGCAGCCGAGTACATGTGTTCCCAGGTGCTGGCCACGGGCCTGAGCGCCCTGTACTCCTCCCTGCCCCGCAAGATCGAGGTGCGAGGAGATGACTGGCACTTCCTGCGGCGCGAGGACTGGATCGGTGTCTCCTCCCTCGTCCTCTTCATGAACTCGCTTGAGTTCTGCAATGCCGTCATCCAGGTGGGGCTGAGGGGCTGCTGAGAGGGACTCCCAGCCCCATAGGGGGCTGCCTGACCCCCCTGCGGCCCCTCAGGTCGCCCACCCACTGGTGCAGAAGCAGTTGGTGGATTACGTCCACAACGGGTTCCTCGTGCCCGTCATGGGGCCGGCGCTGCACAAGGTGAGGGACCCCGGCAGCAGGTGTGGAATGGGGGTCTCCTGCCCGTACCGCTGCCCGTGTGGGTGGGCAGGGCCCCGTGGCGCCCGTCCCTGCGGCCCCCAGCTGCACGTGCCCCTCCTGCAGACCTCGGTGGAGGAGATGATTGCGAGCACGGCATACCTGGACCTGTTCCTGCGCAGCGTCAGTGAGACAGCGCTGCTGAAAACCTTCCTGCGCTTCGTGCTGCTGCACCGGCACGACAACACCACCATCCTGGACACGCTGGTGGGCCGCATCAACAGCAACTCCCGGGTGAGCCCCGTGCCCCCCACATCCCCGTCCTCATCTGTGTCCCATCCCCAATGTCCCCATCCTTGTCCCATCCCATTCCCATCCCCTTCCCCTGTCCTGCCGTGGGCCGGGTGGCACTGCCCCCTGCCTGCTCCGCTGCCCCTCTGACACCCTGCACTGTCCCCAGCTGTGCATGGTGTCCCTGAGCCTCTTCCGGACCCTGCTCAGCCTCAACTGCGAGGATGTGATGCTGCAGCTGGTGCTCAGGTGAGAGGGCTGGGGGTCACCTGCTGCTGGCCTGCTCCGGGGATGGGCCTGGGGAGTTGCTCCCCGGTGGGCATGCGGATGTGAGGCAGCCACATCATTTGCCCCACTGTGAAGGGGCTGGGGTCCTGTGGAGGGTCCCTGTCCCGTGTGTCTCCTGCAGCTGCCCTGTGCCACCCTGCCCTCAGGTACCTGCTGCCCTGCAGCCATGTGATGCTGAGCCAGAAGCGGGCGGTGCGGGACCTGGACATCTACGGGAAGACAGCGGCCAAGTTCCTGTCCCTCATCCCGCGCTGCTGCCGGCCCGAGAGCCCCCCGCCGCCCCGCGACCGGGACGAGGAGCCCCCCGCCCGGGCCAGGGGTACGCCACTGTGGCCCCTCAGAGCCCCAGCCCACACTCCCCATGGCCCCTGGCCTGACCCTGAGCCCTCTCCCAGGATCCCTGCTGCCCCTCAGACTCCTTTCCTACCCTGGCTTGGCACTGAGCTGTCCCATGCTATCCCTGTGGCCCCTTAGACCCTGTCCTCCTCCTGGCTTGATGTGGAGCCCTCTCCTGGGGTCTCCATGGCCACTTGTAACCCACCTCTGCTCCAGCTTGTGGATGAGTCCCAGCTGTGCCATCCCTATGGCCCCCTCATACCCTGGCCCTGTCCTGTCCTATTGCTGAGCTCTGCCTTGCTGTCCCCTTGGACCCTG